ATTTTGCAAGTTTTGTTCATTTCAAAATTGATGATGGTAATTTGATTCAATTTTGAAGATGGTGTGCTGACAGAACTTTCGTGAAATTTTTTCCATATTTGTTTTCGATCAGTTATGCGAAAGAGGCTACTGTCAATGAGATAGGGAGTTGGTCTGAAGTAGGTTGAAAATGGGGGGTCTGTGGAATTCAGGATATTGAATTTGTTCCATATAGAAACAAACTTGGCGAGCTGTTGGATATTCTCTCTCCTTTTACGCTTCTTGATGACAATAAGGACTGTGTTGGAATGGGAAATGGTGTTACTTTTTTTTTGTTGATATAGGTCAAAAGAAGGTAGTGAATAAGGAAAACGATGACAACAATTTTTGTTCTGCCAATGCAGGGTATAAAGATTTTATGAAGGCTAAGGATCCTATTACTCTGGAGGAAGGCAAGGATAAAGCGTTTTGAACTCTTTGGAAAGCAGGGGTTCCGACTAATGTAAGAGCTTTCGAGTGGAGACTTTTTGTACATCGCTTGGCTACTAAAGACCAATTTCTCAAGCGAGGTATTTTCTTCTATCCTAATGATGTTATTTGTATGTTATGCCTTAGGGCGGACAAGGATATAAACCATTTGTTCTTCGAATGTCCGGTGTCGAAAAAGGTTTAGGATCAAGTTGGCTCTTGGATTGGCTACAAGATTTCTATAGATGAACCATCTTAGAAGTTTTTCTTAGGATGGGACGCCATTTTCAAAAGGCTTTCAAGTAAAGGTAACATCGACATTATTTGGTTGGCAGTGGTTTGGGGAATATGAAAATCTAAAAATTATGTCGTTTTTAATGAAGCAAAGTGTGACTTCAATAACATAGTTTGGTTTGGAAATGGTCGGTGAGTGGAGATATTTCGTATTCCAAAATTAACTATCTAAAAATGTGTTCGAATTCTTTGGTTTGTTTATCTAATTAGTTGTTGTTGGTGGAAAATTTATTTTGATCCTTTTGTTGTATAATGGGTTAGAGCACCCCTAGTGCTCTTTAATAAAATTGTTGTTTAAAAAAAACCCTCAAAAATAAAAGGAAATCGGTATTGGACTTTTTAATTTCTAAGATAATCTAGCTCATATTATGCATCTATTTATAATTTTTATGTCTCGTACTCTTAGTTTTTACTTAAAAATCAACTAATTTGAAGAGCAAAGAAGAAATTATCTGCAAAATCACAATTGTAATAATTAAAATCTCACTCTTTAAAAATAACTATGCAGAATGTAACAGATTCATTTTGTTCATCTATTGAACATCAATGTAATAGCCAATCAACTAAATCACAATTAAGAAACAAATATAATCATTGTCATGGGAAATTATTAGCAACAACATAAAGAAAAGTAACACATTTAGCAATAGATAAAAGTTTATTGGTAAAACTTGTAGTGCTTGGCATCAAGCAAAATACTCCTCAATGCTCCAATAGGGGATAGAATCATAATTAATAATCCAAGAACAATGCATATCTGAAACAAATGTAGTAGAGAAATTAAGCACACACATATGTAAAACATTAAAAATAAAATGAAAAAATTAAGGAAAAAAAAGGAACAATATTCAAAGATATTTATTTACCCAATTAGTCCACCAAGACAAACTGAATCTTTTGGGTTTGTAAACCGCAAGCCACATGATACATGGAAGCTGAAAATTTAATAAAATAAATAGTTTAACAAAATTTTAATAAACTTAAAAAATTGAATTGTTGATTATATCTATAAATCTTTATATCTTACAAAATAAGTTGTGGGAGCTAAAGCAAATCCTCCGAAAAATCCTAATAGACTGCCAAAGAATGGAAATGTAATAGCAACGAACATTGTAAAAGCTGAAAAAAATTTATATTGATATATAAAAAATAGAAAAAAACAAAGTGATTAAGGGTAGGGTCATGAGGAAATTTATAGGGACTGTTAATTCAGAAGATGGTATGGTTAATTCAGTTTCAGGTGTTAAGGAAGCGGTTTGGAAAATTTTCTCTTAGAAATATAGGGAGCCTGATGTGGAATGACTAATTTTTAATGAAATCACGACAAAGTCTCTAAGTCAAGTAGAAGTCTACTTCTTGGAAGCTAAATTTTCTGATGAAGAAATCAAAATAGTTGTGTGAGGTTATGAAGGTTCGAGGAGTCCGAGTCTAGATGGCTTTAATTTTGTTTTCATCAAAAATTGTTGGGAGATTTTAAAGAAAGACATTTTTTTTCTTTTGTCAAAGGGTTTCACAGTAAGGTTGTCCTGTCTAAGGCCATTACTTCTTCTTTTATCACTTTGACACCTAAGGTATCTCATCCTCTTAATCTGGAAAATTTCATGCCTATTTGTTTAGTTGGAAGTCTATACAAAATTGTGTCTAAATTGTTTGCATCAAGGTTGAAGAATGTTCTCGGTGGTTTGGTATCGAACAATCATCAGACTTTTGTGACCGGGAGGCATATATTACACAGTGTCTTAGTGGCTAATGAAGTAGTGGTTCAAGCGACGAGGGAGAATAAAGATTTTACTTTATTTAAAGTGGATTTTGAGAAGGCGTACAATTGCTTTAATTAGGATTTTAAGAGATTCATGATGAAGAAAATGGGGTTTGGGAGCATTTGGACGGGATGGATGGAAGTGTGCTTTTTCAATGGACATTTGTCTATTTTAGTTAATGGAAGCTCGACGAAGGATTTTAAGATGGAGAGAGTTTTAAGACAGAGAGATACCCTTTCTCCATTCCTTTTTGTGATAATTGCAGAAGGTTTAACACAATTGTTCTATAATGGTGCTGTAAGAGGAGATTTTGAAGGATATAGTGTTCGTGAGGGGCTTTCTGTTGATTTTTTCCAATTTGACGATGACACGCTGATATTGGGTACAAGATGTTGGAAACATTTGTGGAGCATCTAAGCCATTTTAAGGGGTTTCGAACTGGTTTTGGGATTGGGTGTTAAATTTCATAAAAGTAGGTTGATTGGAATCAATGTTAGTAAACATTTCTAGCTTGCTGCTTCTAGTTTTTTTGGCTTGTAAGGTGGAGGATTCAACTTTTATATTCCTCGGTCTCCCTGTTGGTTATAATCCAAGGAAGTTAAAAGTTTGGACAACTACCGTTTAGAAATTTAAAACAAAGTTAGCTTTATGGAAAGGAAGGTTTCTCACTTTTGGAGGTAGGATTGCTCTAATTAACTTTGTTCTTAGTAGCCTGCCTATTTTCATGTTTCTTTCTATAGAGTTCTGGTTCAAGTCAGGAAAGAAATTGATAAGATCGATAAAAGGTTTCTTTAGGGGGAGGGGGGACATAGGAGAAATCTAAGATACGTTGGGTTAATTGAAAGATGGTGTTTAAAGCGATAGAGCATAGAGGGCTTGGAGTAAAAAGTTTAGAGGGGTTTAACTTAGCTCTATTAACTAAATATAAATGGGGGATATTAGTAGAAAAGAAGGAGTTATGGAAAAAAAATAATTGAGGCGAGATACGTTGATTGTGAGGTTTTTATGATTTCAAATGAGAGTTGTAAATCAAGTGTTCGGTCGTCAATGTGGTGAAAGGATTTGATTAAAGTTAGGGTTGTTTCTTCCAACTTAGGTTTTCATTTTGCAAGTTTTGTTCATTTCAAAATTGATGATGGTAATTTGATTCAATTCTGAAGATGGTGTGCTGACAGAACTTTCGTGAAATTTTTCCATATTTGTTTTCGATCAGTTATGCGAAAGAGGCTACTGTCAATGAGATAGGGAGTTGGTCTGAAGTAGGTTGAAAATGGGGGGTCTGTGGAATTCAGGATATTGAATTTGTTCCATATAGAAACAAACTTGGCGAGCTGTTGGATATTCTCTCTCCTTTTACGCTTCTTGATGACAATAAGGACTGTGTTGGAATGGGAAATGGTGTTACTTTTTTTTTGTTGATATAGGTCAAAAGAAGGTAGTGAATAAGGAAAACGATGACAACAATTTTTGTTCTGCCAATGCAGGGTATAAAGATTTTATGAAGGCTAAGGATCCTATTATTCTGGAGGAAGGCAAGGGTAAAGCGTTTTGAACTCTTTGGAAAGCAGGGGTTCCGACTAAATGTAAGCTTTCGAGTGGAGACTTTCTGTACATCGCTTGGCTACTAAAGACCAATTTCTCAAGCGAGGTATTTTCTTCTATCCTAATGATGTTATTTGTATGTTATGCCTTAGGGCGGACAAGGATATAAACCATTTGTTCTTCGAATGTCCGGTGTCGAAAAAGGTTTAGGATCAAGTTGGCTCTTGGATTGGCTACAAGATTTCTATAGATGAACCATCTTAGAAGTTTTTCTTAGGATGGGACGCCATTTTCAAAAGGCTTTCAAGTAAAGGTAACATCGACATTATTTGGTTGGCAATGGTTTGGGGAATATGAAAATCTAGAAATTATGTCGTTTTTAATGAAGCAAAGTGTGACTTCAATAACATAGTTTGGTTTGGAAATGGTCGGTGAGTGGAGATATTTCGTATTCCAAAATTAACTATCTAAAAATGTGTTCGAATTCTTTGGTTTGTTTATCTAATTAGTTGTTATTGGTGAAAAATTTATTTTAATCCTTTTGTTGTATAATGAGTTAGAGCACCCCTAGTGCTCTTTAATAAAATTGTTGTTTAAAAAAAACCCTCAAAAATAAAAGGAAATCGGTATTGGACTTTTTAATTTCTAAGATAATCTAGCTCATATTATGCATCTATTTATAATTTTTATGTCTCGTACTCTTAGTTTTTACTTAAAAATCAACTAATTTGAAGAGCAAAGAAGAAATTATCTGCAAAATCACAATTGTAATAATTAAAATCTCACTCTTTAAAAATAACTATGCAGAATGTAACAGATTCATTTTGTTCATCTATTGAACATCAATGTAATAGCCAATCAACTAAATCACAATTAAGAAACAAATATAATCATTGTCATGGGAAATTATTAGCAACAACATAAAGAAAAGTAACACATTTAGCAATAGATAAAAGTTTATTGGTAAAACTTGTAGTGCTTGGCATCAAGCAAAATACTCCTCAATGCTCCAATAGGTGATAGAATCATAATTAACAATCCAAGCACAATGCATATCTGAAACAAATGGAGTAGAGAAATTAAGCACACATATGTAAAACATTAAAAATAAAATGAAAAAATTAAGAAAAAAAAAAGGAACAATATTCAAAGATATTTATTTACCCAATTAGTCCACCAAGACAAACTGAATCTTTTGGGTTTGTAAACCGCAAGCCACATGATACATGGAAGCTGAAAATTTAATAAAATAAATAGTTTAACAAAATTTTAATAAACTTAAAAAATTGAATTGTTGATTATATTTATAAATCTTTATATCTTACAAAATAAGTTGTGGGAGCTAAAGCAAATCCTCCGAAAAATCCTAATAGACTGCCAAAGAATGGAAATGTAATAGCAACGAACATTGTGAAAGCTGAAAAAAATTTATATTAATATACAAAAAATAGAAAGAGAAAAAAAACATTATTAGTATAGTCGTAAATACAAATATAACAACATTAGTAAACAAAAACATAATCAAAACTTACAATAATTCATTTCACTTACCCACGTATAGATTGCGAACAATAAAACGAAGAGGTTTACTTGGTGTAAATTTCAATTTTTTAACCATCAGACTTTCAATCATATCAAACACCGGCATTGCATAAAGCTACACCAACAAAGAAAATAAACAAGCAAAGATTGCGATTAAATGTGAATTTTTTCACTAAAAGATGAAAAAAAAATTTGATTTTACCTGATAGCTTCCAATTACGTGAAGAACAACAAATAAATTAGCCATTGCAATAAGCCAAGCCGGTTTCTCCAAAGATATGAGAATGTTATCCTTAACTTGATTTCCAAATATCCAATAACCAACAATAGCAACAGGAAAATAGCATAAAGCAACGACGATGTACGCAACGACAACTCCTCTCCACATCGGAATCTTGGATGGTTTTTCGGGCGTCGATGGAATGGTTGCTTGAATTTCCAACACCACATTGTGTCCGGCATATGCAAACGCAACCGTGCCAAGCGCGTTAAAGAAATTAAAGACAGTTCCTACCGTTGTTGTAGCTTTGGAAGTGTATTGTACATCTTCTTGTACTCCTTTGTCTACACTAGCCGCCCAAGCGATTATAGAGTAACTAAATTGAAATTAAAAACGTAAATTATTTATATTAGTATTTTCCATTCGAGTTTAAATATATTTTTATCTAAAAAATTTAATAAAAAAAGTTGAAATACCTGACTGACATGACGGCCGCAACCAGAGAAACGCCAGAAATAGAGTTGAAGTTGGGTAGATGAGCCAATACAAAATTAATGGAGGCAAAGATCATGATGAAGAAACTCAGTTTAATCTTTTTGCAACCAGGACACACTGTGTCATGAAATTTTTGGATCGATGCACCGCCGGTGACCATGTAGACGATGTCCACACCGACTTCTACGATAATTTGTTGAGGCACAACAATATAAAGACCTAATTTTTCACCAAATGCTTGTTGGCCTAATTCATGGTATCTATCAAAACGTTTTCCTGGAACCATTTCATGCATCTCAACCATTTGCCATAATGTGTATAGTGTGATGATCCATGAGAGAATAAGTAAAGTCACCCCTGCACCCCTGAATATAGTAATAAAAATTAGGAGCAAATTATATTGGTAAGAAAAAAGTGCACTACATTTAAATTTATTTAAATCCAATTATTCAGTCTTTGAGTGATACCATCCAAGTTGTGACATGGCATAGGGGAGACCAAGAACACCAGCTCCAACCATTGCAGTGACATTGTGAAAAGCTGAGTACCACCATTTTGCATTTCTATCAGCATTAATGGGAAGCCACTCTTCAATTTTCTTCTCTCTTTCTGATTTTTCTTCAACCTATATGAATGATAAAAATAAATTCAATGAATTAATCAAATTCCAATAATTTTGTAGAAAACTCCAAAACTAATTATCAAATTTAGTATGAGGAATTTTTATACTATACTTTTAGCAATTCTTTTGGTAGAAGAAATTCTAATAGAAGAATACCTAAAAACTATGCATGTGAACAATTATAATTAGGTTTACTATATTTGTTTCATAACATATCAAATGCAAGTCACCAACCTCACTATATGTATAAATAGAAGACATAGCATTATAGCAAGAATTATTGTCTAACTTGAAAAAGAAAAATAGGAACACAATTGTTACAATTAATGCTCTCCTATTCTTTTACAAAATATATTGTAGTTTGACAAATATTTTAACTTTTTCAAATTGTTTTTGTGTGCTTAAGTTAATACATCTTAAACTTTTGATCTCATTATTTTTGTCCTGTGCTAGAATTTATATTCTCAGATTTTTTAACATATTATTTTGTATTTAATTTTTTTAAATTTATTTACAGAAAATTAATTGTTACAAAAATAATTTAATTTATTAAATTTATTTAAAAATAATATCGATAGCATTTAATGCTAATATTAGGATGATCAGAATTGGTAAAGATATTCTATTAGTATGTAATTATTTATGAGACATTATTTTGTTCAAAGAGAAATTCAAAGTAATTTGGACATTTTGTGAACAAAATAAGTAAATTTAAGAAAAATATGAGAAAAGAGAAAAAATACAGTAATAAATTATACGGTAATAAATCAAACAAAGACAAAAAAGATGATAAGGTAATAAATCGAACAAAGACAAAAAAAAAAAAAAAAAAAAAGATGATACGGTAATAAATGGTCATAAATTTCTACAGCTAATTCATTTACTGTTTTTCTTTTAAGAATTTAATAGATAAATGGAATTTAATTATTTTGCATTAAAATTCCATCAATATGATACGAAAATCATATAAATTACTAAAACAATACAATATTATTACATCTATGTTTTCTTCAACAACAACAGCAAATTTTTTTTAAAAAAAAATACATATTTGGGTAAAAAATGGTATTTTGAACAAGAACTCTAATATCTGTATTCATGATAAACACCAATATATTATAAATTTAAATTATTCGATTCAAATTCATAATTTTCTGAACTCAATGACTCTAAAAAGGGCTAAACTTCAAAATTTTCGATATAAAAAATACATTCAATTCATATTTGTTTTTCTCTTATATATGATTGCTTATAGCCAATATAAACAAAATAATAAAGAATACTATATAATAGATCAACATAAAATAGTTTTGAGATAAATTAGAGAAACTTACAATTTGGGGGTGAGAACTAGGGTCGAAAGCATTTTGTTGTTCACTTTCCAAACTTGCCATGACTGCACAAAAGTTTCACAAACGAAGAGAGAAACAAAAAAAGATTTGAAAAGTTATGCATACACAAGTGTTGTTCAAGTATTTAAAGGATAAATCATGTGATTTTTGGAATGTGAATATTATTATTTAATTTGAATAATGAAATACTAGTATAACTTTTTAAGAATTAAATTAAATGGAAATAATAGTATAACTTTTCAGGTAAGTAACCTTTTAAATTGTTAGGCCTTACCATTGGTGGAAATTATAGGGAGGTTGTCTTTTGAAAACTTATGTTATCTTGTTTCAAATCGTGTTTGTTCTCTTGAAATTGAAAAGGAAAAATGTTTTTTTATTGGTGGGAGGATCGTTCTATTAAACTCGGGTCTCACAAATTTACGGGTTCATCATCTTTCGTTTTTCATAACTCAGGTTAAAATTATTAAGGAAATTGTTAGTATTCAAAGGAAATTCTTGTGGGCGGGATTGTTAGTTGGAAGTTTTGACGCCAAGGTTTAATTAAGTATACTAAGCCAAAGAAATATTTTTAAAGAGATGCTTTAAATTCGATAGAGGTATCATTGAAGATATTGGTTGAAAAGACCCTTAATAAAAAAGGGTACGCTGGATTAAGACTTATAAATATTTCTAAGATTAGACTGCAACTTCGACGGAAGCAATACTGAGGTTGCGTTCGACGAAGATTTTGAATTTTGAATAAGAATGATAAATGTCTTTTATCCTTATCTGTTTCTCAAAGGTGACGCGTCTAAAGTTGTGGCGAATTGGAGACATACAAGCGAAACGTGTCATTTTCTGGAGAAGAGACCATTGATAGTGGTTATTTCCAACGTAGTATAAATAAGAGTCTTAGTGTGTAGAATTTCTGTGTGTTCAATCATTGTACAAATACTCACAATTTACTCAAAGTATCTAAGTGTATTGAGAAACGAGTTCGTTGAGAATGTACGTTCAAAACACCATATTTTCATTTCAATTGAAGTTATTTTCAGTTTTATCAATTACTTTTTCATTGCAATTTACTTTGAAGTAATTTATTGCAATTCCTTTACAAACTCTGCAGTTTACTTTTAAACTTTAAACAATATTTCTCAATCATGGGCATTGCCGAAGTGTTCATAAGACTTTCAAATATAGTTTAACAATAACATATATCCTAGGATTCACTGGTTGATCCTGTAAAGTAAACCATTTTTGAAGACCAACGGTTGTTTACTAATTTTCACGGTAAACAAATTGGCACGCCTAGTGGGACAATACTATCGTTTAAACATTTTTTCTGTTTTGAAAATTTTTGTATAAGTTCTTCATTTTACTATCTCTCTAACTTTGTTGTATGAGACTAAGGAGTGGTAAAATAGCCACAAACAACGAGGAAATACTAAGGAGAAGATACGTAAGGAGGATGGTGAATCACAATCCACCAAATAATAATGGAGAACCACCCCCTTCATCTTCGACAGGGGGGAACTACGGTTGCAACGTCTATATCTGAACTGGTACCATCCGCAGCAACTACGATGCTTGTGCAGTTGATTGCCCAAAGTCGACCAATTTTGTCTTATGTGGGAACATAGGATCCACCAGTGACCTCCCCCCTTCCAATAGGGTGTAATTTATTCAAGCTTTATATGCCTGAATTTTCAATGCCTCTAACTGGTCGCGAATAGCCTTATGGGATGCCAACATCAATGATGACAAGTTTGCATAATACATCATCAATGTCCATAGACCCAGTGGTGAACGCGATTTGGCCACTACAAGGATCTAGTTTAGGTATTAACAATATGGGTCAAATTAGCTAGCCCTTAGGGACGGAATTTCCTACCCAAATGCCCAATCTCACCAATAATTCCGCAGCAGTGATAAGGCAACAAATGGACGAAAGCAATCATGAAATGGTCCAAATGATTTCCTAACAAATGGGCGTAATATTTAATCCTTTGATTCAAAACACTACCCAAACGAACCAACAAATAGCAGTGTAAATGACGCGCATTGCTGATTTCTTTGATGTTCCACAATCCCCTCGACAGCCTCAAAGAGAATGCATGATAGAAAATCCAGGGGTAGCCTTGGAAGAGGATCCCACAATTAACCAAATTCAACGAAATATACCACAGGAAAACATGGTAAATCAGGAAATAAGAGTCGAACCACCTAGAGTCGAACCTCCTAGAATTGAGCAACAAATTCCAAGGGAAAGGGAACTAAGGGTAGTGATGGTGCATAGGAACGAAGTCATAAATCAGTTTCAACGTGATGATATGGCAACGAATAATAACTTAGCAGTCATGGTCGAAAGAATTATGGCGCAAAATGGCGTAAATGTTGGCTTTCATATGTCAAATTACACATCACCATTGTCTGAGTACATCCTACAATCAGAATTACCCCCTAGGTGGAAAGTTCCCAAGTTTACTAAATTTTATGGGGACACTAGTGAGTCCATAATCGAACACGTGGCTAGATACCTAATAGATGCAGGGGAAATTGCAAATATCGAGAACCTAAGAATGAAATACTTCCAAGTTCCCTTACAAAGAATGACTTTACATGGTTCACCATATTACCAGCAAACTCAATTCATAATTGCACTCAACTCGAAAGGTTGTTCCATGAACAGTTCTACATGGGACAGTCGAAGATTAGTTTGAAGTAATTGGCCAGTATTAAACAGAAATTCACTGAGCCAATATATGATTACTTGAATAGATTTTGTTTGCTTAAGGCAAGATGTTTTACACAAGTGCCTGAGCATGAGTTGGTTTAAATTTCCACTGGTGGCCTTGACTATTCTATTAAGAAGAAACTGGATACCCAATATCTGGGACATGGCCCAGTTGGCTGATAGAGTTCAATAGGTCGAATGCCTGAAGGCTGAAAAAGCTAGGGAAAATAAGAATAATAGAAGAGAAAGGGTAGCCTACATCGAATTTGATGAAGATGAGACATATGATGGCCCTTTGAATTTCGACGAAAGCGAAATTGTCCTTGCTAAACTAAAGCAAGGAGCACATTATTCTTATAAAGTCCTAATGCCTTCGAATGGAAAGAATTTAGTCGAACCAAAAAAGAGTGATAGGTTCCCTAAGAAAACTTGCACCTTTGACGTCACCAAGTGTGACGATATTTTTGATTTATTAGTTAAAGATGGCCATATGATAGTGCCTCCTGGTGCTAAAACACCCCCTTTAAAACAAAGGAAAAAGAGAGGTTTCTGTAAATATCATAATTTTTTGGGCCATAAAACTTCGCAATGTTTTTTTTCAAGGATCTAGTTCAAAATGCTATCAAAGAAGGAAGACTTAAATTCCCAGACAAATCGAAGTCTCAAATAAGGATTGATTCAAACCCTCTCCCAGTGGAGGATGCGCATTATTCTGAGCCATCGATGGTCAATATGATGGAAGTATTTAAGGACTATGCCACCAAAGTTGTGATGGTCGAAGCTACTAAAGGCTTCACCTAAGGAGTCACTAAGGACTTCGACAAGGAAACTACTGAGGGTTTCATTCACGTCACTGAAGAGTTAAAAAAGAAACCACTGAGGGTTTCATTCAAGGAGTCACCGAAGGCTTCAACAAGGGAATCACTGAGGGTTCCAATCAGATGATCACACAAGTGAAACTACTGAGGGTTTCATACAGATCAAAAAAATAACTGAGACCACTGAGGGCCTTAGAGTCAAGTTACAGTATTTAAACATCACCGAGGGTGCCAACTTAGTGGTTAACATGGTGGAAGTGACCCAGGAGACTGCAATGGAGGTTGTTAAACAAAGCCTCGGGCAAGAGGAATATGTCAAAGTGGCTTATCCCAAGCAAGATGAAAGCCTGGTCGAATTCCTTCACATGTGCTAAAGGAAAAAATCTGAAGTGATGTTGTGCCCAAGGTGCAGCATAGTCTTCGATAGGAAGGCAGAAGAAAATAGTGAGGGGATTCGACTAGCCAAAAATAGGAATAACTTGAGAGACACCCGTAACCACTTTGCCTTCGGCAAGAAGGGAGTGCCCAGGAGGCAAGAGCAAGGAGGACAATGACTTTATGGAAACAAATCAGCCACATTCAAGCCTACTACTGATACCCTCAGGGGTAAGTGGATGAAGCCTGTCAAAAGAAGGGAGCAAGGCCAAAAGAAATGGAAAAACTTTGAAATAGAGAGAGGTTCCTCACTAGCATACCGTAAGGAATTCCAAGCCTCAACAAAATTAGTGTGGCGCTCTAAAAATTACAAGGTAAGAACCCAATGTTAAGGTCTCAATGAGGGAGACAACGAAGAAAAAGAAAGGCTGAAAGAGATGCTAGATAAAAGGCAAAGGCTGAATCGAGCAGTAACATACCCCTAAAGCAGGACAGGAATGAAGAGAAGAAGCATGTCGAAAGGAAACTATTTTCTTCTCAAAAAGAGGACATGAGAGAAAAGTCTGACTAGAAAGCAGAAGATGACATGCTGAGAGATGATTTCGACACAGGTTCAGAGCCTTCATTGGATATCATTTGCAACATGGTATCTGTATTGCCTAAGGAATACGACCAAGTTATGGAGATAGAGGAACCTGAGGATGCAACTGAGTTGGAAATGGCCAATCACATGCCTGTTTGCTATTACATACTGAATAATGGATATGTGAAAGAACAAAACGCCTTTTTTGAAAGGCCAAACGAATTGATGAATAATCACTTGAAGCCTTTATTTATTAGAGGGAAAATAGAAAATGTTAGAGTAAATAAGATCTTAGTCGATGGCAAAACGACAATGAATTTGATGTCGCATTACATGTTGAAAAGAATTGGGAAAGATGATACTGAAACTAAACCCCATAACATGGTTTTTTCGAACTAAGAGGGAAAGGTTGGTACTACATTAGGGATAATCCAGGTGGACCTCACAGTTGGCACCATTACAATGCCAACTATGTTTTGGTCATAGCGTCGAAAGCCAACTATAATATACTTTTGGGTCGAGAATGGATCCATGGTGTTAGTGTAGTCCCTTC